ACGTGCAGGACACGGACCAAACGAAGTCATGCCCTGATTGGTCAGAATACCAGCCAATCCGAGTCGAGCGTCTGACTGGACGCCTCTCGCCCTCTCACGGAGGTTTTAGCACGACCTTGTGGAACACTGTAACTATCCTATAAATACGATTGTAATAATTTTCCTTTGTCTCCATAAAGGAGCTGTCTAGAGCTATCATGTCTTTTGATATACCACAGTGGGCGGAGCAGGAAACCAAGGGACCGATACAGAGTTGCGCGATCGTTAACAAGTCACAACAATATCCATGACGAAGGTAACAATTTGATGGCAAAATTTACAGGATCGCCTCAAATTCTGCTCATGTGCTACCACTGTCCGATCGCAGATGAACGATTCCTTGGTCACACCTATTCTTGAAGATTTGTCAAGGGTCTGAAGCAGGCGCTCTATAAAATTATCACTTGGGACGAAAAGTGAACGGAGCTAATCATGCCGTTAGGTATCGAGTTCAAATTAGCATCGGTGTTGAACACTGATGTCATGCTGTCGATGATGATGATGAGACCTCTTAAAACACCGTAGATCGACCTGGTTACGTTGAGTTGAACACTTGTGTGACGCTGTCGATGATGATGACGCCTTTTTTTGTCCGAAGTCTTCATTTGACTCTGCTGTTGACCATCGTGTTCCTCTTTTAATCACAATATGCCAGCTCAAGTTAACGCCCATGGTAAATGTGATCCTGACGCAACCCGCTGAGTGCCATCCGGGATTGTAATCTATCGCTTCCTACTCAACTGCGTTACTGGTCTGAATACTTTTGGAGCGTTCACCCGCAACCATTCGTTACGCTCATACCACTCTTTCTGGATCGGATCTTTCAGAAACAAATCGTTTCAAAGAACGAACCAGTTCAGTGATACTGCAGTCAAACCCAGAAGTCTTACTTGCAGATTAGGTAGCCGCTGTTCGCCTACTTGGGCAGTTGTCTCCAGATGAGCTGCTTGGGGTTATACTTGAATGTCCTCAAGGATATGTCACTTACCAGCTAATTTTTGGGCGTACTGAAATGAGCCTTTTGGTCTTCGGACTTATTTCTCGTTCTGCATCCTTATCACGGCTCCGTTTGATTTGAATACGCCGCGGTGGATTCGCTCAATTTGATGTCTTGATCTCAGCAGCAGTGATAGAGAACTCAGTCATCATTGTGGAGCCGCCGTGTTCACTTTTCACGAATGCGCCTGAAACAAGAAAGAAGAAGCGTTCAGCTGTAGCACACTTCCGGTGCCTAGCTGCCATGCCATCTGAGGGAAACACGAGGGCTGGGATACTGCCAGTTTGCCCAGGCCTAGACAGGGTAAGTCGCATGGCGGAGGTCGGGTTCGAACCACGGACCTTCCGGTCAGTAAGTTCGCGCTCTGACTACTTGGGCCATCTCGCCCCTCAAACAAGTAAGGTGAGAATACTTCCAGATGGAAGTAGTGGGACGAAAAATGCGACTCCCTCAATGCTCGTTGAGGGAAATTTCTCCTCGCATTGTGACGAGACGTTTGCAATCTATTTGTGAAGCTCGCCGAATGCATAATTGGCGAGTATCGTGTAGTGAAATACACTGTAGGCCTAGTACAAGGAGAAGATGCGTACTCTCAGAAAGTCATTAAACACGTTTTGGATCAGAACAGCCCAAATTATCCACCCGTTTCTTACCGAGCTTGGCAGTTGGATTGCAAACATTTCATCACTAGTGTCATCATCAATGCGGGGTCGAGTGGTGACAGTTGTCTGTGGAATCTTTTGCTAGCATTCCACTGCGTCCCAGGATGATGTTATGGTAAGAACTAATCCCCCCACCCACTTAACAGTGCCGTATTTACGCACTAATTTGTCAGCTCCCCAATGCTCAGTTACCTACTCCCCACCTCCCCGAATCATCGGTGAACGAAACTGTGACAGCTACAACCACTGCATGACAACTACGCGGTTACTGCAGCGGACAAGGATGATGATGAAATCCGGAAAACTCTTTAGTGTTACAGCCAAATTCTCAAAACTTCTGTGGTCGAATCTGACCTCAGGAAGACGCCGGGCCTTAATGTGTGGATACATGATATCGATTTCTGCAAGCAATGGCTGCATGGTGGTCCCATTAGCGAAGCCTGAGTACATTGAATTTGGGTCACATCTGTTTGGGTGGTATGTCAGTACTTCAAGGTCCAGCCTGTCTGAGCCAGTGGGATGACAACATGCACTTTCTACTTTTTCTGAGGACGGAGCACCTCATGGTGGTCTATCTATATTTGATACTGAGCATGGTCACGAGAAAACATCCAATTCCCATGGGCCATTCTGTAAATCAGTCTAGCATGTCGTGGAGATGACAACCCGTTTCTTCCAGCTGAGAGAAAATTCCACTTCTCAAATGATTTCAAGGCCACTTAATCAGACTACCGGAACAACAGAAACTTGATCATATTCCTCTTTGGCCCATAAAGTCGAATTGGTAGGGAGGCGTGGGCCTATTGGAAACTTTTGAGGGACAAAACCGGACGATCACTCAAAACTTGGTCTTTCTCAAGATCTGAATTCTTTGTGGACCATCTTAATAAACTGCTCATTTGGTTTGACAAAACGCTTGTTCGGCAATCAGATTTTAGAACACTTGGATACAGCGCGAGCTCTTCTTGTGAAAAATACGGTAGGATAAGCTTGCTATTACCCAAGGTATCGTGCATATTTTTAGTCAGAGTGAACTTCCCTCCCAGTAAGGTTCACCTACCGGAAAATCCACTTACTATCCTCCCAGTTGGTCTCACCGAGACAGTTGACTTTTTCCGAAATGAAGCAAATATGTTTTTTTGTTTGGTTCACTATCACCTGGTCGCAAATGTTGGCTGGCTTCTGAATGTCATTCGTGTCCGTCTCTTGAGCAGAGAAACCACACCCGAATTCACCAGGACTAACTTATCGGATTATCATAGTGCCGTGCATAGGAGTTTGGTACATTCCCACTGACGTCGAGTGAAACAGTACGCACAGGGGAATTGTCAAAGCGTACAGCTGTACTCCGTTCAGTGAATAAATCAATAGACTCGTCAGAAATGCTGATGGATCGATTGAACCAGCCTGGTTTGCATCGTCTTATCGGTAAGAATGCTTCAAGTCAACTTATCCGGCATTAAAATTTTAAGAGCGTTGATCATCACTATGGACAGCATGACGTCAGCGTCCAACACTGATGCTTTGCTGCCGTACAACCATGATTTACTTGAAAGCTTTATTGCGAAGAAAAGAATAAAATTGGACGCGGAAGTGACATAGTGCTGCTTTACTACAATCATTCGAAGGCGCCTACACTTCCAGACACTCAGTAAGGCAATGTGGAGAGAAACGGACAACGCGATCGCTGTAGAAATTGACTAGCAGCCATATCTTGCAACGTCCCCAACCAGGGGCAATGGGGATCACGCGGTCTCCATTCTGGTAAGCGAGTAGCACCGACACTAATCAAACGGTTCGCAATCTCTTGCATACGATTCTACCGGGTCAATGACTGGTCACCTCTCTGCATCTGCCGCTCTGAATTGGGCACGGGAAACAGCACTCTGTTCGGCATGCACAACACATGTCCCAACCAACGCCGCTTCTGGTGATAGACACACTCCTCAATGGAGTTCTCAGTTGCGCGACCGAAAACTCGCTTTTTCATCGCCTCGCTGCGGATTCTCCGATACCAACCTACAGGGATTATGGTTTGAGACAGCGGCAGTGGGGATCACGCGGTCCTCATTCTGGAAGGCGAGTAGCACCGAAACCACCAAGACTTTTCGTAATCTATTTCACAACCCTTTGCTGGATCAAAAGTTGGCCACCTTTCTGCCTCTGCCACTCTAAGTTGGGCACGGGAAACAACATTATTTTCGGCAAACGATGGTTCGGTATGCGCGATAATGGAATAACCAACGAAGCTTCTGGTGCCGGACTCATTATACAATGGAAGTCCCAACTACACAACCAAAAACACGTTTACTAACTGCCTTCTTACGGATTCTTCGACACCCACAAACAAACACCTGCGTCTTCTCTTCGAAAACGAGAACGATATCGCCTGCATATCCCAGATCGGCGAGGGTTTCGTCAGTGCCTACACACCCGGGGAACGATATCGCCTGCATATCCCAGATCGGCGAGGGTTTCGTCAGTGCCTACCTGAACACCCGGGGTTTTGAAGACTGTTCAGTAACGCATTATTGGTGAATGAGTTTCAGAGAGCAAGAAAGAAGGTGCACTAGGTTTGACTGGTTGGTCGACGATTGTAGAATCAGACGCTTTCATGTCAAGGTTGTTGAAAGATTTTTGAGGGATCCTGCTGGAATTCAGTGGGATTTCTCGTGAAAACTAAATTCGCTTGTGAATAAGTGTGGATTACGAGCGAAGTTGTCTGAAGACGGATACATGTACACCTGAACGAAACAAAGGGAAAACTTGTATAGAACGAGGTGCAGGGATGGTCCAATCACAACGCGACCTTGTGTGGTTGCCTGTCAGTCACGGGTGATTGGTTCTACGTCGTGGTAAGCGGTTCGCCTGCTTTATCAAACTAAGCCATAGCATCATTCACCTACCACTCAGTGACTCCCCTTTCAAGGGAACGTTCATAGGACTAATCGAAATAATCCTTTCCTGCAACCAATCACCATGTATTCCCCAACCATCTCTAACAGAAAGTCTTGTTTCGCCCCTTAACTCACACCCCTTTTGTCCTATAGGGAATTCGTATGGTAATATCACGCGGATTCATTAAGGCAACTCAGCAATCTGCTTATTCCGGGCGACATACTTTCGCTTCATTCCGTGATTATCACTCATTTACTCGAAGCATGCTTCAAGTGAACTAAAATGTTCTCTTTGTTTAAATGTATATTTCCCGACAGAATCATACCGAAATCAGCTGATTGCAACGTGTGTTCTAAATGCTATGTTTGCCAGAGTCTCCCGTTTTGACCTTCATCACACTTGTATCGATTTGTGACAATTTGAATATATCGATCCGTTGCCTAACAGTTGAGTTTAGCGCACCAGACGGGTTTCTGCTTGTCCACTCCCTAAAAAGCCATGTCAACGATGGATTGTAAGTCATTGTACCGTGAAACAATCGATTTGGTAATCTGTTTTAGGTGAACATCCTCCACAATGCGCACAGTGGGAGTCAACCGTGGGACTGAAATATTTGGTAGGTTGCGTTCTATTTCGTATTGAACGGTAGTCGAGTTTTATATGATATTACAGCTCGCTGAAGACATCCTCGTCACACTGTTTGCAACGTTGTTCTGCTCATTAAGGAAAGCTCGTAAGCACTGGAATAGTGTATTGGTTGGTTATCTTGCTTGCGTTCTAGCATTCATCCGGGTGTCTCCCAGACACTTGAGTGCTCAGGTTCGGTTAGAATGAATCAGTAGAATCGTGGAATTAAGTTCCATTGGCTGCTTTATTCTTGGGAGATATGGTAGAGTCTAGTGCCCTCATGGTGAAACCGAAAAGGCACACCTAGGTTGATTGGGAAACGCAGTTTAAAGTTCTGGGTTGTCTAGAAGAGATTATTTCCACAGATATGGATCCTGATGATCTTAAACCCACTTTAAATGTTGAAGGCCTAACAGTGAAGCATCAGTGTCAACATTGACGTTGCTGTCATTCTGTCACCATGCTGATGATGGTGAGCGGCACTGTTCTAATAGTGTGTAAGTTGGGAATTTCGTTTTCTGTGGCTTTTTAAAGGATAAATTCAACTCCGATTCGCCTGTTTCAGCTTCGTCTTGTGGAGTTTGTCGCCACAGCGATGATTCCAGGTTGGGAGACAATGGTAGATTATTGCAGCAATATACTGAGGGTCATCACAGAAGTGCCGAGCTATAAATGCTCGATCCAGAGTGGCTCAGCTTCTGGCCAATCAAATCATACCTTCGTTTGGTCCGCAGTCCGCACTTCACATCCGTCCAATCGACGTGATGTTCAGTTGTCTAATCGGACCAGTTGTTATCTGGAGGTTCATCTGGGAACCAATCTGTTTCTTGTGGAGTATCAGTGGTTAGGACAAAAAAATACCATGAGGTTCGTGGTTCGAACTCCACCCGAGTATCCCGACCTTTCTTGTCTAGGCTTTGGCTACCTAGCATTATCTGAGCCTTCGTGTTTCTTTCGGTTTGTATATAAACTAGGCACGCAAAGCTAATCGCTTTGTAGAATTTCTTTACATCCATGTAAATTCCACTTAGCTTCGTGACCATTCAAGGAGATGACCTTGGTTATGCCCAATGCATCAAATATGAGACTGCATAAGCTATTTGCTCCAAAGTTAACCGAAGGCTGAAACCAGAAATTGCTTCATTTGAATAACCAGTTCTTTAGCTTGCTGATGAGGGGATTCCAGAAATAGAAGTTAGGCAACTCTGGTGTAAATAACCACCTCAAATGAAGTACGAAATATGGTTTAGGCAATAACATCTGGGTAATGTGCCCTTAAATGACGGGCCAGATTTGTTTTCTGTTAGTTGCTTACATCTCGATTCATGTGGTACCTTCATCACTTCTTTCACAGCTGCGACGTCACTGATGTTGCGGTGAACGCAACAGCTATCTTTGTCTACAAGCTTATCGATCCCAAGCGAAGTTTTCATGTGAATATCTATCTGTCAGGCTTCTATGAGAGTCATCATGTTCACCACTCTTCCGAAGACACATCGTTCTAATAATGCAGACGGATTGCGATCGTTCTCTTTTAGTTGTTCACATCTCGATGCACCGAATTTATGTGGTAACCTCAACACTTTTTCACAGCCGCAAAGTCACAGATGTTGCAGACTTATCGATCCCAAGCGAAGTTTTCATGTGAATGTCTATCTGTCAGGTTTCTATGAGAGTCATCCTGTTCACCACTCCTCCGAAGGCACATCCTACTAATAATGCAGACAAATCTCGATGTTCTTGATTTCCGAAAAAGGCATTATCTGGACGCTTAGTATATGCCCATACATTCTTAAAATGACGACAAAAAGTATCACAGCAGATAAATCGTTCTGTAGTACGACTGATGCAGCCGGACAACAATTTAGGGGATGTGCATTCTACAATTTCGTCAGTCTTTTGCTCGACATCGTCACACTACTCTCGGGTGCTTGAACATCATTTGTGTGGCGGTTCACGTTTCAACTAGGACCATCTATCCTGCCTTCGCAAGGTAGACCTCAGAGTAATACTCAGCCAAAAGTTCGTTTCCTTGATCAAACCCGTCTTTCCTAACCGAAGCACTGTTAGAAACACATTGGCGCTTACGCTTATGCTATTTCGCTTATATAACCTGGTGGTCTTGTTTGTTAGATGTGATTGAAACTGTCTTGAACGAAGAATAACCCCACTTTGAACTAATATTCCTAGCCTTTCTGTCAACAACAGCCATGGCTGTCCATGAGGACGCCCTTCGTCACACTAGTGTGAGGAGGAAAGCTCTTCACCGCGGAGTTGTTTATTAGCAAACACCAACTAGACAGTTAAAAACTATTGAACTAGAAAGGAAACCTCTCATGTGCACCTTGTTTTTAAAAACTGAACATCCTCACCCAACTTCTTGAACGAACGCTGTACAGCAGTTCGGCAAATTCCGTAATAAACCCCCTCCTCGCAATCGACACGAAGCAGTTACGAGAAACCACATACTACTCACATGCCTCATCAGCAGTATCCGCAGTCACACTGGTTTGTCACTGCAATATAACAGCGCCGAGAAGGATCATTTACCTCTCTGTGTGTGTGGGGGGCTGTGTGAGCCATATCCTCGAATAATTGTTTCTCCCAAACAGTCTTTCGCTCAACGTTTACCAGGTATAAGGAACTCGGAGCTTGTCAACCGAGCACACAAGATTCAGGGTTACTTTTGTCCCCCACAAAAAGAATCCCATGGCAAGAACATCTGTTTTGGGCACTGATAGGCCGGGTTTTCGGTTAAACACAAGTTTCCATCATCATCCTAACGGACGTGACAGCACCAGTGTTGAACACTAGTGCTACAGTGCCATAAAGCCAGCTTTTATTGGAGATATACTACAGAAAAAGGAAAAAAGAAGAATAATTATTTCAGTGCCCGCGCCTCAAGACGCACAACCAANTTGCATTCTCAAAATATTTGCTTGATGATGATGCACCGAACATTCTAAACAGATGAATTATCTAGTACTCACGCTCCTTGTTAGCATGGATGCCCCATAAGGAGTATAAGCAATCTGAGCGAAGCTACTAAAAATACTCGGGTATCTGTCGAGAACAGATTTGCTTATCTTTTGGTAGTTCACTCAGTTTCTAGACATTGAAAGTGAGCCACTGTCTTCAGTGAACCATGTCAGAATGAAGTTTCATCCAACCACATGGCTAGCATCCCATCAGGCAAGAGGACACTCACTCGACGGATTTCGGACTTTGAGACTCTCGCCTTAGTGCATCGTATGTTTGAACTCAGTACTCTAAATACGTACTTTAATTGGGTTGGTACTCACGCCGGGCCAGATTGACACACTTTTCACCTCACATTTGCCACCCATTGCAGAACTTGAAACGCAGCACCTGTCAATGTGTCGTTTTGATTTATTACAACTTGGACCAAGTCAGTTTTGGCAAATTTCGAAATGTGATGATTGCGAACAACCCCATCATGCGCGCCTATGGGAATGGTGAATTCCTCGGTATTTCAAAGGTAAGCGGACTTGTCTGTAGTGACCACGGAGGTTGAGATGTCTCAGTAGTTATTGACTGGGAGGTTCGTGGTTCGAACCCTGACTAGGCTTACGCATTCTGACCTTCGGGTCGCATGGCCGCTAGGCGCCGAATGGGTGTTATAGCTTAACCACTTTTTCTGCTACCAGATTAGTGCATGCTGTAAATAGTTCAACTGGTTTTGGATAGGCTTCCACAAATGCGGACCAATCCGGAGGTCGCCCGTTCCGATGCATCAAGTATGTTCCGGTGGGGTAGTGGCAATGCACTTGCCTCGCATTCCCAATGAATGGAGTTCGAGTTACAAAAAAGCTGAAAAGCCGAGAACTCCAGCGCAGCTTTTTCATCCATATTATCTCGAAAATCCAGAATGATTCGACCTCCCAGCTAGTGGTCTAAACGTTTAACCGTTGAGCTACAAGCGCCTGAGATTAACTCGCACTTACACGGTAAATGGCACCACTCATCCACCAGCCACGTGATCCGCACCGCATAGTCACGCGTGTTGACTGGTCCTCGAGTGATGACTTCTCAATGTTGCTTTCATTCAGCTCTTGGGTAGAAAAACTCGCAGTGACACCGCCATATAAATCCATCAAGACTTCGTCCTCTGGTTATGCTGGCGATGTACACAATAGTTGAGTGCATTCCCTCTAACCTAGAATAAAACAGCAGGCTCAAGGGAATGTCGGAAGCATAAATCTGTGCGCCGTTCAGTGAACGAAGCAACAGTCTCATCAGAAGTGTTGACAGATCGATTGAATCAGTCTGACTTGCTTATGAGGTATTAAAACTCTAAGAGCGTTGGTGCTGACCTATTAAGGCATCATTAGTGAAGGAATTTACACTCTTTTCAAGAAATACACTCACTTGCAGAGTAATTTGGTTTGTCGAAGAGGAAGAGTTTTCAGCAACCTTGTGAGTAGTTTCCTTCATGAAAATATGCTGCGATATCTCGAACATCGTGCCAACTGAAACGTGAGGTGTGCAGCACACTCAGTTGTAGAATATCATAAACGAGAGATTCAGTTGAGTCTCTCGTGAAAACCGAGTTCATTTGTAAAAGAGTGTACTTCTCGAAAAAACAGTCCAATTTGGGTTCAAGTAGAACATAAGGTTGATGGAAACTCGGGGACTGCGCCTACCTGATGAGCCCCACGAAGGGCAAAATCGGTCATGGGCTGTCGAAGAGTTTTCAGCAACCTTGTGAGTAGTTTCCTTCGTGAGTTTAGACTCTGTTTGGCCATAAGCGGATAAATCCTCAGGTTACTATCCAGTAGGTTTGGGTTCGAGACCCTGTAGATCGAGGTTCACCCTGGGGTTTTCAAATTCGGCTAGCTTCACTTACAGGACGGATTCTCAATTGAGAATCTTCAAATCTCCTCACACCACAAGCATCATGGCTAATCACAATTAGTGTTGCTCTGATCAGGCACTCTGACTTCTTTTGCATATCCAAACTTTTCATCCTTACCAGTAACCAATCCTCGTGGTGAGAATCACCACTCTATGGGCTTACAATCTGATTGGATACTGCGAAGACAGGTGTGATCGAGTCCTGAAAATTCAAGTCACGGGAGTCATTGGTTCTTACTGTGATTCATTGAATACTTGTTAGAATGACCTACCCTTTTCTAAGTAATCATTACCTACACAATACTTATCGGCGGAATATGTTCCTGAGGTCTAGACCTTATAAATGTCAAGTGAACCGTTTCATTTGCACCCGTCCGACAAGCAAAACGCCCCGCGGACGTTCTTCAGCGTCCTACCACATCCTTTCCGGTGTTTACCTACTTTCCCAATAAAAATGCCTATAAAAAATCCTGGAGCTGCCTACTCGATGGATGTGCATCACGCCATAAATGCAGTGTCATTTTTTGATAGCTAAGTAACGGACTTCAAACAACGAATTCTATTATTTTCCAACTCCAGGATGTCTGCTGTGTTGAGGGCGTATTTCCGAAAAATCAGAACATCGGTATTCTACAATTTGACCACGTCGAGGAGGCCACCAAATGCATTGATTCCAGACCGGATTTAAGAGAACCCCATAACTATGGGGGTTACGATTTGTTTATTCTACCTTTGTGCAGTCCATCTCAGTCGTGGCCAGGTGAGATCTCCAATAACCTTTGCGTTGGTTGTCCAGTTTCCGGTGTTTTTGAAATAACTGCAAGTTGGGTCTCAGGGCCTGCACAGGAACATCCGCTTTTATGCAACTATGAAGCGATACCTACTCACACTTTTGTGTTATATGACTTGCTGGTGTAGACTGACACAAGCCACCTCACTATCCCATGGATGCGTCTTCCAGAGTATCGATCCGTACGTTCAGCAAGCAGACAGATAGGTATGGAATCACGCATCTGAAACATCCATCTGAATAACTGTAGGGTACACCAAAGCGCACCATCCTACCACGGTGCCTTATTACTCATCAGGGTTGCCTCTTCGCCATGGCATGGTTTTTTATCTGTAGTGAATTTTCGTAGTTCTTTGTGTTCTCCTGAACCAGTTTTTGGATAGCACGGATCTATGAACTGGCCAGATGAGTTCATATCATGATAACCTTTCTTGGCGTTCCAATCGAATGGAGAGGAATGCTTGCATATAATGTTGAACAGCACGCAGTTGAATAATTCCCCTCACCAGATAGATATCTTGCAGGGTTCCAAGAAGGAACTGTCCAGGACATTCGGTGTAAGCGATCTCTTGGTCCGCTATCATTTCTCTGGGTGATTTCCCTTCAGTTTCTATTTTCCTATGGCGGTATTTGTTCTCTGTGCTTTCAATTCGGCTGTCAACGTCTTTCAGTAATTTCTTACATCCCGGGAATACCTGACAAATTTACTCAAGCACGCATTCAACGAAAGAAGACCAGAGATGTCCGCAGCACTGCCGCTTCCCTTCAGCTTGCAGTTGCGTGTACTGTACTACCATGTGGAAGATCGCACTCTGCACACCATTTACTTACGATTTTAATCTTGACATCCTACAAAGACTGTTTAATCAAAGAAATTACATTCAGTATGGGTATTTAGTACACTGGGAAAAACGGTGTCGACCGATCCCTTCAAACAATGCCATGTGAAGACGTTTTCTACGTCGCTACGTGCTTCACAGCCCAGATGATTCGGTGAGGTAATCACAAGCAACAACTGTGGCTTGATTTGCTTCAACTTTGGGTGCCTCACGGTTAGTGTAAGCAAGAGATCCAGGTAAATTCCAGCGCAGCGTTCCTCCAGCTCCTAATTAATCCGCAAATGAGTGTTTAGCGAGGCATGCTTACAATTTGGTGCTCACGTACGAAATAAACTTTATAGTATTTGGGGGATCAGGCCCACCCGATGAGCCCCAGGAAAGACGAAGTCAGCTGTGAGTAGTATTGGAACTATTTATGTTTCATCTGATCGTGCCAAGATTAGTCCGAGCACTGAAAATCGATCGCTCCATCCATGCATTTCCGTTTGCCTCATACCACACGACAGTCAGACCCATATTACGGTTCATTGTTCTGGTGGTCTTGGACCGTCTTTATCGACGAGACTGAACATGAAGACAAATCCAAAAGAAACACATGTTTCATCAATACCATGGAAAATTCTGTTTCGTAGCTTTCACACAGTTTCGACAAGTTTGCCAACTTGTCAGCTGTATTTCCGTTGTGAAACTTGGCTCTTTTCCCTTTGAGGGCACGAAAAATCGAACCAACTAGCTTTCGAGCTCATGCCAACATCGATCTGATCGTTTACTTCGTGGAGCCAATTCTTTTCGCGTATACTTACAATACAAGCCCAGCAACCGACGTGTACTCAAAAGCACTCACAGTTTTCCTCGCGTACATCCTCAAATGAAATGCTTTTGCCGTTTTAGTTCTTCCAGGTTCCGGGAACACCCACGTTCTTTTCCTTGTTTCAATACCAATCGTACGTTTGATGAAAACCCTGGATACTCCAATAAGGTTTCGTCCTTCTCGGGTTTCCCCAAGTATGCCTAGTTCCAAATCCCAAGCAGAGCTTATCGCCAGTGAAATGTGAGACTCTCCATATTCCCTGTAGTCAGTCGAAGTATATTACAAACGAGGGATTGGGGCGAAAAAATCCGACTGGATCTCTTGTCAGCACCAGATCAATCTACAACTGAGTGTTTATAGCACACGTGCTCGTTGTGTTTTTTATCATGTTGAATGCTTGAGTTTTACTTCCAGCTAGAGATCCGGTTGTTTGCCCTTTGTTTCTTTACTGGAACACTGTTATCTTCTCTGCTATAGGTAGTATTCTCTTCTGCCTTCTCTGAAGCATGGCGGTCACCATCCCCATGAGGTCAAAGGTCCACTCAGCCATGTTGCGTAAGGTCTGAGTGGGAGTGGGGGACGAATAATGACCTTATTCTTTGAGAATATGAAGAAACATGCACCTGTTTTCCGCCTCGCTCCGACCATACCCATAGCTAATGTGAGAGCGTTCACAGGACAAGAACAAACATGTTTCGCCGATCTCTGACGTCAGTTCACGGAGCAATAATCCCCGAGAGGCCTAAGATGAGGTGCTGCACAATTTTAGTGGTACCGTGTGTACGGAATACAAAGGTGTAGCCAACACGACTGATTGTATGTGCACTAGCTGACAGCCACTGGTTTGTGCGTACCATTTTTTCGGCCAGAGCGAACAAGCCGTGCTAACTATTTCTTGTGATACGGACAGTTTTTGACCGGGTTTTCCCTTTTTGTAAACACTTTATCCTTTGGGATATCCTATAGGATTGGCACTACAATTGGATTCAGGAAAAACCTTCAGGTTATACCAACTTTTGCAGCGTTGGGAGATCGTTTTCAACCTAGGCTTTTGTTTCATTTAGTAACAAATATTTTTTTTGCAGAAAAACGGTCTGTTTGTGCATCAGTTCAACAGTGTCATCCATACAGCTACTCACTCCTTGTTTCAGGCTATCGATTCATTCAAATTGATGTCTACGAACCGAAGAACTCCGAAGTCTTTACGAAATACGTGAATGCGCTTGTTCCAATAGTAACGCGTCACGGCGGACACGTGATTGCCGGAACGACGCAAACTGGGTATTTTATGGGAATGCGACGTCTGAGTTTCTTTTTTGTGGCTCAATGGCGTAGCCGTGAGGCCTTTTTCGACTGTAACTCCGAAGGTGAGTGTTCATCACGATCTCACAGTCGGTGCCAGTTCGTGTGTTTGGGTGTTACTGAACGCTACAGATAATCGGCAGCTTATTGGCCCACTGGTCACATGACCTGTATCGCATGGACTCTGAAGCCAGTAAAAAACCACAGCAGACCAATCAGCGACTAGAAAGATATAATTGACGTGTGATCGATATGCAGTGATCAATACTCGGTGTGGTGGATCCGAATTCTCTCGAGCATTAGTGAAACGCGTGGTGCTGGCGGTTCCCAACAAGAATACCAGGCCTAGGCTGACGGTTAATGGAGCTGGAGTTAATAATAGTTGAAGAAGTTGAAATTTCATATTTGAGAATGTGGTTGAAAATGAAGAGATGTATTGGAACAAAGTAACACCATGTTACCTTGACAGCCAGTTGGGTTAGTACGTAGCACTCATATTAGTCACACAATAGATAACCCTCCATGGACTTATCATAATTTTGTGTGACGTTACGAGACAAATCTTTGCTACAAACCCGAGGGTTCTCGCGCCCCAATGGACTTTCTTCGAAAATCTAAGAACTGAACTGAATCTAAGACCGAACGTGTATTATTCTTTACTCGATGGTGTAGATCAAATGAATGTGAATGACCACTGTGGATACCCAGGGAGAAGGTTTCGTCAGGCTGTCGTCCCTTCGGTGTTACCCCGAAATGCACCCTCGTTAGTGTCTGGAGGTTAGGTTATTTATGAATGGACCATAGACAAGAAATCTCGTGGTAAACTCCCGGGTTTTCCAACATCGATGAAACACTGAATGCTATGCATTTACAGGACAGTGCTCGAAGCCCTTAACGTCGAGTTTGCGTCATCGAATTAGTCTGTCTCCTTGTGTTGACCGAACCGCGGACAAATCTAGCCGCTGTTCGGACGGTTTGTTGGCCGAAGTGCTTCCAAATTTAGACCAGGTACACGAGACAGACTGATGTGAACCTGTTATTTGATGAAGTTGGACGAATCTGGGCTTCGAGCATTGGTTCCTGATTGCATGGTGTCGGTTTTCATCCCCATCTTCCAGCGGACTCTGTGTTTTGTCCTAAACCGCCGCCGCCACCACCAGAAGATCCGAATATCGTGACGACATATGACCTTCGCGCACCTTTTGGGATCAAACAATGTACTTGCAAATCCAAGAAAGGTAAGCGATTGCCAGGTATATCCACGTATAGAGCTCAGTATCACCTGACAGTTTGTTCACAGTGAGTTAGTGTCAACAGCAACCTACCCCAGGCTTTATTTCAGGTGTCCTTCGGTAGACAGAGTCCAAAAATTATATGAAGAATGCACACTAACTTTCACACCGTGTCATAACTTAATCTGTGAGCTGCACTACGTCCAGAAATGAAATTACACACCCCAGTTGAGTGGACATACCAAATGTTACAATACTGGAGTCTTGAAAACTTAGGGTGACGCTAATTTTAGCATTTTACTCTTGGAAAACGTCTCTAGTTGTTACTCTGAAGGTGGTTGAAGGCTAAACCGTTCGGCCATAGTAACTGATCAGTGGTCCGATTAATTCTCACTTAAGGCACAGGGCCACTCATCCTTCATTGGTGAAATTCACATCACGTGGTCAAGCATTGAATGGCTAATAGAGTGATGACCTCTTAGAGGGATAGCTCATTTAAGCTGTGAAATGTTTCCCTTTTATGAGCACATCACTTGCATTTTGTGGTAATACGTGGCGATTTTGAAAATTCTTGACTGTAATTTTGTGATTTTATCCCAATCGATATCAATATTGGGCCTTAAACTCCGATCAATACTTGAATTCTAATCAGGAAATGAAGATCTTTCTTTTTATTTTTTGGATCAAATCCAAA